ATGTGCCAGGCACAGTGCTAAGCACTTTACAATTATTTGATTCTTCAACAATCCTGAGAGGGAGGTACTATTATCGCCATTTTTACAGATAAGGAAACTGAGGTTAAGTGACTTGCAGAGTCAGGACACGGGCCCAGGTCTTCCTGGGTCTGAGGCCAGCTCTCTATTTGGCTATTTTGCCAAAACATTTGAAATAAATTCAAAGGTTTGGGTGCATATGTATGGGTGGTGAAGGGGGCATGGGCAATTGTGGGCAGAGTCCAGGGACAAATGCCAACCTGCTTCCACAATTTGGGGGTGAGGGACGGGGCAGGAAGGGCCTCAGTGGCCCCTGAACTAAGTTTTGAAAGAAGCTGGGGGCTCCAAGAGAGGAGGAAATGGGGACAGCATTTCCAATAGGTGGAGATGCCTATGTTTACCTAGGGAGGTCAGAGAAGGAAGAACGCCCAGAACTGGCCAGAATGGAGTGGGTGAGGAGGATTCATGCATAACAACAGGAGAAGAGGATGCTTTCTGTGCTGGTTTGCCCCTAAAATCCTCTTCAGGTCCCACCACCACTAGGACAGATGCCTTTTCCCCAGCCCCTGGTTCCCTCCACTCCACCAACCACCCATCGGTGTTCTCCCAACATGCTTGGGTAGCACAGTAGGAGACAGGGGTACCCTGTCCCATCTCATTCTAGGCTGAGCCAAAATACCAGGTGATTCAAGACCACAAGATGGAGGGAGTTCCCGCCCCCCCACAAAGGCAAGATGGCTCCACCTGTTTGTGTAAGCCCCTCAGGCTTAGGGGACATGTAGTCCAACCACCACCACCCCCATTTTACAGATAAAGAAACTGAAACCCAAGGTTAAATGACTTGCCCAAGGTCACATAAGATTAGAGATCATATTTGAACTCAGGTCCTTTGACACCAGAGGCCATGCTTTCTCCTCAACTAGGGGACTGAAGCCAAAAAACCTGGATTGAAGTCTGGCCTTAAGAACATGAGAGAAGTGTGTGGCACTTACCTCTCTGACCTTCCTTATCTTTAAAATGGATGTAGACGACTATATGCCCAGAAAAGGAGATGAGCTGGTTACATACTGAGAAGGGGAGAAAAGAAGCACACCAATGTCCACAAAATATTACAAGGCCTTCAATGGGAGAATCTGTTTCGTTGGACTATACTTATTTGTTCCAAGGGTTTTGTTTTTCTCTGTGGCAGTGGTGGGGAATAATTGCTTGTTCATTGAAAAAGTATTTTAAATAAAAAGTTATAAACAATACAAATATCAAAATTTAAAATATATTCACAGTAATAAAATATATTAAAATTTAAAATATAAATTTTTGTAAATATTTCTAAAATGTAAAATTTTCTATTTCAAAATATAAAAAAATAATTAAAGCCAAGAAAAGATATGACAAGGCCTAGTGACATGATTATAATGGAAAGGTCCAGTGGATTTGAAGGTGTTAGACCTGGGTTAAAATCTTGACTTGCTTAATTTATCCAGTTTTCAGTTTCCTCGTCTGTAAAGCATTGGGGTTTCTTGATGACTTCTAAGGCCCTGTCTGTGATCTGTGGTTGGCTTTCAGCGCATTTTGTAGAAGGACATGATCATATTACTGCCTCTCTATGGGCCTCAGTTTCCTCATCTGTAAAATGAGGGGATTGGACTCAATGAACTCTAAAGTTCCTTTCCCTTCTAGATCTCTGGCCTGCAGATGGATGGACAGATCCTCGGCCTCCAGGCCATGTGCTGTCAACATTCTAAGATGTTTTTCATAGAAGAAGAAGATCTTTGTCAATGGTAAAGCCCTCTAGAGATGTGGTCATCCTGACCCTGCCACCATCACATTTGGAAGGAATTGGTTCTCCAGTGGGAAGGTTTCTGAGAAGGAAAGAGGGAAGGGTGTTGTAAGGGCTTACCCGTGTGACCTTGGACAAGTGCTGAAATTCTCTGGGCCGCTGCTCATCTATAAAAGGAGGTTGGTTAGATGAGGACGTTTTTGTGGCCCTTCCAGCTCCCAATCTATACGGCTAAGATCCATCTCTTCCTGAGGGTGGGGGTCAGGGCAGAGTTGTTACCTGCTATATTGTCATGAGAGAAATGATTATCAATAACCAATGATTTGGGGAGATCCAGAGTTCCCCTTTTTTTCTATGGTCATCTCAAAGTTCAGTCTCTCGAAGGACATTGAATTAACCCTCCTTCAGCTTGGTGAGATCCCACCCAGCCTTTCTAGGAATCTCTAGTTTCCATTCAAGCTTGGGTGGAGATGATCCTTTTGTCCAGATTGCCCGAGGCTGGAGGTGGTCTTGGTAGAGGGATAGTCTCTCTGACCAAGAGTGACATGATGTCACCCTCAGCCCCTCATTGGAGTGAGCTCATTTCTCTTTTTAAAGTCCGCTTCTCGTTAATTGTTAACCAATCAGAGCTGATTGCCATCTGCTGGAGAGCCTCTCTTCTAAGGGCATATAAATCTGAAGAAATGGCCACGATACCTCTTTGATCATTGAGAGGATAATGAGCCTTTTTTGGCCATCATTTGCTAGCCATCATTGATAAAATTGATTATGATTTACTCAAAAACTTGGTCTCCTGAAATTATTTTTATTCACCCCAGCCAGTTCCAAACATGGCCTCAGACCATACCACAACTCCACCCAAAAAATCTCTTGATCTTAGAAGTAACCAGACAGGGAGACAGGGGAGGGAAGTGATTCCTAGCTATCCCAATCCCTCACTTGGGCAGAGTTTCTAAAAAAAAAACAAAACCAAAACTATGTTTTGATATTCTATATTAAATTCACTGTCAGTTCCCAGTGGCCTCCCCCCCCAATAGAACTCTGTCTTGTAACAAATTAGTTCAGTCAGGGAAAACAAAATGGTATGAATTGGCCAAGTCTGAAATCGTGCACCTCATTCTACACCTATAGTGAAGTCTTCAATCTGACTCCCAACCCCATCATTCTGCTGACACTGCTCTGTCCAGAGTTACCAGTAATGTCATAATCTCCCAATCCAAAGGTCTCCATCCTTCAGTCTGCACCCTTTTTGGCTGTTTGGAGCCTTGACCACCTGCATCACTTCTGGACTTTCCCCTCTAGGTTTTTGTGAAGTGCTCTGTAGGTCTGACCACATCACCACCCCACCCCAATAAGCTCCAGCAGCTCCTTCTTAGCTTCAGAATTAAACAGAAAATCCTTAGTTTGGCTTTTAAAAGCCCTTTATAACCCAACCCCTTCCTATCTTTCCAATCTTACACTTTACTCCCTTCCATGAACTGTTGTTCAATTGTTTTTAGTCATTTCTTACTCTTCTTGACCCCATTTAGGGTTTTCTTGGCAGAGATACTAGAGCGGTTTGCCCTTTCCTTCTCCAGCTCATTTGACAGATGAGGAAACTGAGGCGAACGGGGTGAAGTGAGCTGCCCATGATCATAGAGCTAGTAAGTGTCTGAGGCTGGATTTGAACTCATGAAGATGAGTCTTCTTGACTCCAATCTCATGGTGCCACCTAGCTGCCCTTTGAGTCATAATCACACATCTTCAACTACCTTTTGGACATCCCAAACTGATGTCCCATAAGGAATCTCTTGTCCAAAACAGAATTCATTACCCCTCCCCTCCTTCAGCCCTCCCTTCTTCCCAACTTTCTTGGGAGTCCCAGTCACGCAGGCTTGAGACCTCAGCATCATCCTGGATTCTTCACTCACTCTCATTCACCCTACATATTCAATCTGATGTTAATTCTGTCATTTTTACCTTCACGATATGTCTCGTATATGCCTCCTTCTCCCAGTTCACACAGTCATCACCCTTTATACATGCCCACGTCATCTCTGACCAATCCCATCACAGCCTGATCCCCTTCTACCTTTCTAACCTACTTCCGCTTTATTCCATCCACATACTCTTCAATCCAATGACACTGGTCTCAATGCCGTTCCTCACGTACAGCACTCTGTCCCTGTCCCGACTCTGGCTGTCCTCCATGTCAGGAGTGCTCTTCCCCCTCCTCATCTCTAGCTCCCGTCTTCAAGTCCCAGCTAAAATTCTACCTTCTTTCCTAATCACCTTTATTTCTAGTGCCTTCCCTCTGTTGGTTACCTCCAATTTATCTTGTATGTATCTTGTATGTACGTGTTTATTTGTATGTTGTCCCTACCCCGTATTAGACTGTGAGCATCTTAAGGGCAACGACTATCTTTTGCCTTTCTTTGTATTCTCAGGGCACAGCACAGTGTTTGGCACATAGTAGGCCCTCAACAAATGCCTGTTGACTGACTGGCCTAGAGTCTGCTAAGAAGCAGGAGACACAGTTCCTCATGCATTCTCCAGAGTCACCCTTGGATACTGCGCTGGGCTCTGTGTGCTGTTTTCATTTGTAATACTCAGACGCATCCTTCTCCTGATCCTGCTGAACTCACTTTGCATCAGTTCATACAAGAGTTCCCAGTCTTCTTGGAATTCTTCCAATGTGTCATGTCTTAGAGCTAAGTATCATCCCATTGCAGTCAGACACCACCATTTGCCCAGTTGTGCCCCAGCTGATGGACACTCTCTTTCTAGAGCCTTGCTACCAAGAAAGAAAAAGCCTTATTCTCAATATCACTAGGCTCATAGGAGCATAGGTAGGCCATCTAGTCCAATCACTTCATTTTGCAGATGTGAAAACTGAGGCCCAGAGGGATGAAGTGATTTGCCCAAAGTCTCGTGGTCTGTAGGTGACATTGGGATCTCTCCCTCTCACTTTACCCTCCTTGGGATATATGCCCATTGATTCCAGTTCTGCTCTTTTCTGGGCCAAGTAGATGAAGTCTGATGGCCCCTGGCATATGCCTCAGGTGACTGTGCCTGAAGGAGTCTGGCAGAGATGGGCTAGCCTGGGCCCTACAGTGATGGGGGGAAGGGGGAGGAAAGGGTCCCACACTAAGAGGAAATGCAGTCTTTCATTTGTGGGTTTCACTTGCTCTAGCCTCTGAGCTCAGACTTCCTCTTGTCTGCACTTTCTCATGTACTCCTGACCCAGTGGCAAGATTTCCCATGCACCACGGGGGCCAGGGTCTCTGGGAATCCCCGGCCTCCAGGGCAGAAGATGGGTTGTTGCAGTCTGACAGCACGGGGTGGTGAGGCTCCCTTAGAGGGAGGCCAAGAGGAGATGGAGCTGCTGAGATGGGGCAGCAGCAGGTAGGTGAGCCTTCCTCACCCCTCTCAACCCCTCCTGCAGGTCCCAGGTGTCTGCAGTTATCAGGGCCCTAGGCAGGGGAATGCAGGCTGTCTTCACGCTCCAGGCTCAAATCTGGAGCTGTCTAGCATTGCTGAGACACATGGTCAGAGGGTCCCCAGGATAGCTCCAGATTCGGGGCAGGGTGATATTCCCTCTGCTAAATCTTCCCCTCCCCCCACCCAGAGCCAGTTCCTGGCTGGGGTTCACGCTGAGGGAGAGCCCCTGGAGGACCCTGAAGGACTCAGAGACTTTCTGAGGGTCAGGAGATGGAGAAAGTTCTGGAGGCTAGATGGATTTGGTAGGCAGGGCCTCTGTCTCTCTCTGATTAGAAGCCCACATTACAGGCTCTTTTCACAACCTCCCTCCTTCATTTAGTCAGAACTGAGCAAGCTGACTCATTTTCCTCTTCAGGGCCTTGAGCCTCCCCCGCCCCCCAGCCATCCCCAGGCTTTCCATAGGCTGGTGAGGAAGGAGAGAGGGACAAGAATGGAGCTGGGGATTGTCCTTCCTGGGACAAATTCATCTGGGGGAGAGGTGATCCAGGAGAGAGGGCAGAGTGGGAAGGGGGAGGCACTAAAGTATGCCCTTTGTTGCCCTTGGGCCAGGTGCATGGGAGACAGAAGTTCAAGGAGTAGAAGAAGTCAAGGAACTTGGAGGCCATGGTGTCTGTGGGAGGCAAAGGCTGGGGTGGAACTGAGTGGGGAGGAAGGAGAGTGACCTGGAGGTCCCTGAAATGAACATTCAAGGAGCAGAGGGAGGGGCTGAAATGGCAATGGATGTCTACTCCTCCTGCTGGCCTATCTTGTCAGGAGAGAGAGTAGCCAGCCTTGAATAAGGGGCTAAAAGATGTGGGTTCTTCTGGAGAAAACTGGGTTTCAATGAGCGCATAGTGAGACAGAAGTTCTGAAACTAAGAGGGAGACATCTAGGATTGTGGGTTTAGAGCCAGAAGGGATCCCTGAGGTCATCTACTCCAACCCCATGCCCATTTTAGAGATAAGGAAACTGAGGCCCAGATAGGGGCAGTGACCAGCCCCAAGTCACACACATAGTATGTGACACAGCTGGGATTCAATCCCATGTCCTCTAACCCTGGATCCATCAGTCTTTCCACTATACCAGAATGGAAGGGTGTGGTGGAAAGGGAAGGGAAAGACTAGGAGGCTGGAACTGACTCCACCTTGGGCGGGGTGGGGGCTGATGGCTAATGGCCAGCAATGAGCTGACTTCAATCCTACTCTCCCCACCCCCACCCCAAGTTGATCCTGCACTGATCATGCGCTTCTTGGCATGACTCCCCAGGCTAGGCACATGGTGGGGATGAGGGAAAGGAGCAGGACGGTCTGCCCTGTCTCAGCGGGAAGGCACCCCATGAGAAAGACCTGGCCCTGAGGAATCACCAAGAAATTACACCCCCTTGGATGTTAGTATGGGGGACATGACCCTCATTGCTGCATATTGGTTCCACCTCTGGACAGAAGTCACCAGCCTTGAGTGACACCAGAGCTCTAGAGGACCTGGGGTCAGAGCTGATCCTCAGGTACAGGTTAAAAAGTAATAAAAGGCTAGCTGTGTGACCCTGGGCAAGTCACTTAACCCCATTGCCTAGCAAAAATGAGAAAAAAAAGTGATAAAAGGGAGGAGGGGAAAAGATTCATGAAATCCCTGGAACTCAGAGCTGGAGGGAACTGCAGGGACCTGAACAAGACTCTCCGCTGTAACATTCCCAACAAATCCAGTCAACGGGGAGCTCACTACCTCCCTAGCTGGCAGCCCATTCCAACTTTTGACATCTCTTGTTGTTAGGGATTTTTCCCTGAGAGTAACCCTGAATCTGAAGCTCTCCAGATTCTACTCATTGTTTCTATATCAGCTGAACAAGATTAACCCTTCTTCCCCAAAACCACTTCTCAAATACTTGAAGACCCGCTCTCATGTTTCCTGGAGTCTTCTAGCCATGATTCCCAAAGCCTCCAGTTCTGGTCCCATTCAGGTGACCCCTCTCTGTCTCTCACTCTGTCTCTCTCTGTCTTTCTATGACTGGCTCTCATGGTTTTTCTGCCTCTCTCTGTTTCTGTCTGTATATATCTCTCTGTCTTTCCCTCTGTATGTCTTTCTTCTCTCTCTGTCTTCCTCTCTGTCTCTTTCTGTTTCTCATTCTCTGTATCTGTCACACTATATAGTCCCCCCTCCCCCCCCATACACACACACACACACACACACACACACACACACTTCTCAGGTCAGAGGGTAGATTTGGTTTTCCAGGACTCCTGTGTTTGAACTAAGAGGGTTTGATACTGGTGAAAATGGAGAAGGAAGGCCTTGTGGAAGATATGGGAGCTGCTTATTGGAAGGCATGATTGGGTGTGGCTAAGAGGCTTCCTAGGTGATTGTGTCTGAAGGGATGAAAAAGACTTAAGGTGAGGGGCATGTAAACATGCCCCTCAGAGGGAACAGAGCCTCTTGGACATCTCAAACTGGATATCCTATAATTGACATCTTAAACTCAACACATCCAAAACTGAACTCATTACCTTCATGCACCCCACAACCCCAACTCTCCTCTCTTCCTAATTTTCCTATTACCGTCAAGGGCACCACCATCCTCTCAGTCATCCAAGATGGAAACCTAAATGTCATCCTTGGTTTTTCTTGCTCTCACCCCCCATATCCAATCTGTTGCCAAGGCCTGTTAATTTTACCTTTGTAGCATCTCTTTCCCATATATCCCTTTCTCTCCTCTGACAGTGCTGCCCTCTTGGTGCAGATCCCCATGACCCCACTCTATTAGAATAGTCAGCTTTTTGATTTCCCTACCTCAAGCCTTTCCCACTCAATTCATTCTCCACTCAATTGTCAAATGGATCTTCCTAAATCACAGGTTTGACCATGTCATCCCTAACCCCTCCAATTCAATAAATTCCAATGGTTCTTTATTACTTCCGGGATCAAATATAGAATCCTCTGTTTGGCCTTCATAACTTGGCCCCTTCCTACCTTGCTGTCTTCTTACACCTCACTCCCTTTCACATACTCTACAATCCTATCAAACCAGCCTCCTTGCCTTTCCTCCCTCAAGATGTTCCATTTCCTGACTCCCTCTCTGAATTTTCCTTGGCTGTCCCGCATATCCAGAATTCTCTCCCTCCTCATGTCTGTCTCCTGGCTTCCTTCAAGATCCAGCTAAAATTCTGCCTTCCGCACAAAGCTCCACCCAATCTCCCTTAATTTTAGTACCTTCTCTTTGGGATTATCTCCTATCCTGTATATATCTTGTCTGTACATGGTTGTTTGCATGGTGTCTCACCCACTAAACTGTGAGTTTCTTGAAAGCAGGGACTGTTTTTTCTGCCGTGCTTTGTATCCCCAGCATTTAGCACAGTACCTGGTACATAGTGGGAGCTTAGTAGATGCCTATTAACTGACTGATTGATGGGAGACAAGGGGGTGGGGAGGGTTGTTTGGAAAGAAGGAGGGACAGGGTTGTCCAACAAGAAAGAATCTTGGTTTTGTCAGTCAACAAACATTTATTATGCACCTACTATGTGCCAGGCACCATGATAAGCTCTGGGGATACAAAGAAAGGCAAAAGATAGTCCCTGCCCTCAAGGAGCTTACCATCTAATGAGGGAGGCAACATGCAAACAACCATGTACAAACAAGATATATATGGAATAAATTGGAGAAAATCAGCAGAGGGAAGGCACTAGCATTAGGGAGAGTAGGGGGAAATTTCTGGCACAAGAGGGAACTTTAGCTGAGACTTGAAGGAAACCAGGAAGCAGAGATGTGGAGGGAGAATGTTCCAGGCATAGAGGACAGCCAGGGAAAATGCCTGAATTTGGGATATGGAATGTCATGTTTGAGGAGCAGCCAGGAAGCCAGTACCAATGGATCAAAGAGTACATGGAGGCATGTAAGGTGTAAGAAGACTGAAAAAGTAAGAAAGAACCAGTTTATGAAGGGCTTTAAAAGCCAACCAGAGAATTGTAATTTAATATTTAATCCTGGAGGCAATTGAGAGTCACTGGAGTTAATTAAAGGAGAGGTACATAGTCAGATCTGTGATTTAGGAAGTTTGATAGCTGAGTGCAGGATATATCAAAATAGGCAGAGACTTAAGGCAGAGAGACCAAGGAACAGGCTATTGTGATAGTCAAGGAGGTGATGGATGTCTGCACCAGGGTGGTAGCTGTGTCAAAGGAGCAAAGGAGGTGTGTAGGAGAGATATTAGGAAGGTAGAAATGATTAACTATGGGGATTGACAGAGAGTGAAGAGTTGAGAATAATACCTAGCTTATTACCCTGAGTGCCTGAGAGAATGATGGTACCCTTAACAGTAATAAGGAAATTATAAAGAGGGGAGGATTTGGGGAGAAAGATTCTGAGTTCAGTTTTGGACATGTTAAGCTTAAGATGTCTAATAAGCAGTTAGAGATGCAAGGTTAGGTTAAGGCTGGATAAATACATCTGAGAATCATCAGCAAGGTGATGAATTCAAGGGAACTGATGAAATCACCTATCAAAATAGTGTAGAAGGAGAAGAGAAGAGGGTTCAGGACAGAGTCCCAGGGAATACTCAGGGTTAGTGTGTATGATCTGGATAAAGATCCAGCTAAGTAGACTGAAAAGGATAGGTCATACAGGTAAAAGGAGAACCAGGAGAGAGTAGTGTCACAAAAACCTAGAGAGGACATCAAGGAGAAGGGGGTGATCAACAGGGTCAAAGAGAGGGCAAGAAGGATGAGGATTAAAAATGGCTATTAAATTTGGCAATTAGGAGATCATTGGTAATTTTGGATTAAGCTATTTCGATTGAATTAAAGAGACTGGGACCTAGACTAAAGAGAATTAAGAAGGGAGTAAGAGTATAAAAGAGGTGTGCAAGGAAGAATTTTAACAGTGAAGGGGAAAATGGTGGGGGGGAGTGGTAGACAATGCTCAAACCTCACTCTCATCAGAGTTGGTTCAAAGAGGGAAGAATATATGTACATACTCAGGTGGGTATAGAAATCTATCTTACCCAGTAGGGAAATAGAAAGGAAAGGGAATAAGAGATATGGGGAGATAGGATAAGAGAGGGCAGATTAAAGGAGGCCATGGTCAGAAGCAAAACAGACTTTTGAGGACGGACAGGATAAAAAGAGGGAGAGAATGATAAATAGAAGAAAATAAGCTGGAAGGAAATACACAGTTAGTAATCGTAACTGTGAATGTGAATGGGATGAATTCACTCATAAAATGGAAGCAGATAGCAGAATGGATTCAAAACCAGAATCCAACAATATATTGTTTACATTTGAAACAGAAACACACACATACAGAGTTAAAATAGAGGGCTGGAGCAGAATCTATTATACTTCAGCTGAAGTTAAAAAAAAAAGGTAGAGATAGCAATCATGATCTCAGACAATGCAAAAGCAAAAATAGACTCGATTAAAAGATAATCAGGGAAACTATATTTGACTAAATGAAGTAGTAGTAAAAATTTTTGTAGCAAGTTTCTCTGACAAA